TCGCTTGTCGCTCTAAATAATTTTGCAAATAAGCAAAGACAATGTTTGGGTTGTTTAGACAGATAAGCCAGTGGTTTATAATAAAATTAAGAAAATCTTGATAATGAATATATCCCTCGTGATAATTTAAGGCATTATAGACCATTTATTCTCTAACCTGATTTGGCCGAATATTAATAACCTTGCATTCTCCGTTGGTCAATACAAATATTAGTTTAAAAAAGGCTTGCTTTGCTTAAATTATTGACTTATTCTTACCTTAAATTTGACCACTGTTGAAACCAAGGTAAATCCTGAAAATGGCTGTGGCATATCCATTTAGATTGAGGAGAAGGCTTCAGAGTCGAGGGTTGTCCATCAGGAATTAGTTTCGTTGAAGAACTACCAAATATAGTAATTCACGTTACTCTTCGGTCTCTACCTAAATTTGTTTTCTACGCGCGCCTGTATTTTCTGTCACATCGCATTCCGATTATCTAAGATTAAGACTACATGCGAGACGTGGAATTTTATGCCAAATTAATATTTTGCGATCTAACTCGTTTGCTTGTTGCTAAGTCATATGATTCTCAGTCTGGGAAAGCTAATGACAGTAGCTGCTATGGATCGATGCAAACGGACACGCCTAATGCGTTTAGGGCACTGGTTTCCCAATTAAGTGTGCCTATTGGTCGTGTGAAGATCAGGAGCTCGAGGCGAATCAGTAAAGATTTGAATGAGTAGATAGGCACTCTGGTGCCGTTGACGTTCTCGCGTATTCTCGGGTACATCCGTGTATTAATTCTTTGAAAATTCTGCTTTTTATCAGGAGTAAATTGGGGAATTTGTTTGTAGTATTACTAAATGCTTAACTTAATGATAATCGACGGTTCCATACCTCCACCACTGGTTTCATCTGCTGTCCGCAGGGCTTCTGACTACATCCCGCTTGCCGTTTGTTTCCTACTACGCTTAAAGTCACTTTATGGCTATCTATAAGTCATCGGTTTCAGTCTCCGTTTAGACCATTTTCGAAGATTCGAAGACCGGAATCAAAGGCTTATAGACAATCAGGTAGAGTGATTTTCAGGGTTAGCAAGGAATAACCGACAAGCGGGTCTGAGGAGGGCTAAATGAAAGTCATAAGCCCTGTGAACGGCATCTGAAACTGGTGGTAAAAGTAATTAATTCGCTAATTTAACTTGAAGCCACGCCCTTAGATGACATGACAGGACGCGAGGGCAGAATGATGTGGATAAATGTATGGGCCATATGGATTGGGATTGAGAGGAAAGAATGCTGAATTAGAGGCTATGAAAAGCAGGGGGAGTAGTGATTGTAAAGCTGTTGAAAGAAAAATAGTTAAGGGGATTGCCTTCAATCATCACTGATAAGTTGTAACTGTACTGACATTGGCACCTCTCACTGACGGTGCCTCGAAATGTTTGGGAATTTACCAAATCGACCATCCGACGCTGGAAATTATCATGAGTACTTTGGCAGAGGAAACACGTTCGACAAGGCCTTACTGCCGTTCCGATCAAGTTGCGAAAACTAGATTAAGCCAACACTAACATTTCGTTACTATCGCGCGGTGAAGGTAGTCAGATGGATGCCAAGTAAATATAACTCACCAGCATGGCCAAGCATAACTATACTAGCCATTTTTGTGATCTGACATGATATTAAGGAAAAGAGGAAAGAATCTTATAATGACCAGGTTAGTAGAGGATTTGAGGCCTGAAGTTTTTGCAAATGGATAGTGACCAGGATATTTTCAGAAATAACCCCTTGTAAACCTCATATTATTTAGTACGGATAACCAATAGGTGACGCCTACACAAGTCGTGCTTCATGTTATACATAAGTAGGAACCAAATTTTAAAGAAACTCTTCGTGATCTCATGTCCTTGGACTTTTCGGTTGGCTTAAAAATGTGCTGGGAGGGATTCGTGAATTGGCCATTTGATTAACATGAAGTGTGGTTAAAGTTAGGAAAACTCATCTCACTAATTAGCAATGCTCAAGACAACTGAAACCACACAACTAAATGAGTATTAGGCCACGTCTACTTCGCACATCTGCAAGCACGTAAGAAGGAACATATAACAGTCAACCATAAACGAAGATCTGATTAAAATGGAGAAATTGTTACAAAGCACAGGTGAGGTTGCGACCATCTACTATTCTTTGCCTCTTGATAAATTAAATGTAAAGAATAGCAGATTCCGGCAATCTTACCGAGACCACAAGATGGTACACTGAAGACTAATTTTTAAAAA